TTTCCAATAAAATGCATTTTGAGAAGGTTTTAAAAAGTTTTGATTTGATTCGATTTAAAAAGTTCTTTATTTCTAAGATTAAGCTATGCAAAACTGGACAATAATTTTTATTTTATTTTATATATTTTTTAAATATATGGAAAGTAGAAAATATCATTTTTGTTTTTATTAAGTACATTTTTATAGCACTATAATTATAAAATTTAATCATTCAGAAGACTGTTATTTTTTGTTATCGATTTACATACCGTTAGTGATATAACAAGAAATATCAATAATTAGGGTTAATGTGTCTTTTATTTTTTGTAGTTGTACTCTTTATAACTATAATTGTGTAGGGATACGTAATAAGCGTTCCGATATATTGTGATTTATTTTATTAAGCAATCAATATTTTTGTATGTTTCATGATTATTAAAAGAAATATGATAATTTGTATTCGTCATATAATATAAACGTTTTAAACATTTAATTACATCTCACATCTTTTATTGCTTAATACCTCAATGCGGGAAAAAAATAATACAACAAATTTAGGTACAAGACATAATTCGAATATAATTTTAAGTTATTTAAATTGCTTCTTCAATTTTATTTTGTACTTTATCTAATTCTTTATTTAATATCACATAACAAGGCTACACCTCTAAGTGTCCAATGCCGGGGATTGTAATCCGTTTCAAAATCAATAGAACCTACATATTTCGCGTCTGTTCTTTGAGGTTTTCTATATATAGGGCACTCATATAATTTTGGATCTTTACCGGCGGTTGTGTTAATTGCGAAAATATAAATAACCGGCATTTGTTCATAAAGAACTTTCGGCCTACTCTCGACAAGTTTACCGGCTTTTCGATCAAGTGATGCACCTTCCAGAAACAAACCGTGGACGTAAACTCCTTCCTGAGGCTGACTTTTAATGTCTTCTTTATTGTAGCGTGTAATTACGTTTTGCAAAACTACGGAATCTAAAGCCCAACCCTTATGCGCTCTGGTCACTTCCTAAAATTCATGTATAAGCATTAAAAGACAAAGTTAGTTATTGTAACGTGGTTAAACTTTTGCAAATTTTATATTTTCTAGAACTCGACATGTTATATCTAATATAAAATATTATATACGTTTTATATTTAGCAGTAGGCAAATAAATCTAATTTTGTTAAAAAATATTGTAAGTCTATAAGTGTAAGTCTGAAAGTCTATGAGTCATTATGTGTTGTATATTTACAGTCAATTCTGTCGAGAACAGATTCTGCAAAGTATGTTACAAATTTTGTCGGCAGAAGGCCGATAAAACAACAAAAACTACAAATTTGATACAGAATCTGGTACGATACTTTTGACAGAAGGCTAGCAGAAAAATTTTAAATTAATAAGATTATAAAAATTATAAATATATAGAAAAGTTTATCAACAAAATATGATGATAGATTAACGGCAGAAATCAAGTAGACTTTAACATATACTACACTATAGCTACACAGGTTAATGTAGATTGGTGTTCAGAAATAAAAAGCAGAGGCTGCGTTCAATTCTGCAACCAATCTTCTGTCTTGTTATATCAATAGGTTTTGCTAACAAAACACGAGCTCAATGTGGACACAGTTGATACTAATTTGCTAGCAATTTCTGACGGATACTGCTAGTAGTTTGCTTACTGGAAAATATATAACTACAAAACTTCTGACTTAGAATTTACTGACTTTACTTGTAACTATATTTGTTTTCTCTTGAACTCTTATTAATTATTAAATTAAATATCTATTAGATAACATATTAAATATATTCTATGTAGATATCTCTCGTTAATAATATTAATCGATTTATTTATTTCTATATTAACACAATTCTTTAACGCTTACCTGCCTCATTGCCGTTAAGAATCCTTGTGGATTAAAAAATCCAGTCATCCAAAATACTCTTGGACGGCCATGAATGCACCATTGTCTGAACTGATGATCTCTTTCTAAAAGTTCCGTATACCAGAAACCTAAGGTTGCCGATTCCCAAGATATTTTCAACCACTTGTCCGGTATGCGTGCATCATACATCGCATCCAATGATTTCCGCAAACCTTGACTCATTATTATAGTACCTTCGATAGCTAGCTTCAAATCTGTTAAAGTACTTTGTACTTCCTTGATGACTCGCGAAATTCTACAAAAAAAATCGTCGTTAACGAAGATTTAAAAAAGAATTAATTTTTTGTATTACTGGTATTTTATAGGCATCATATTTAAACTCATTTTATGTATAATAGATGAGAAGGAATACTTACCGATCTATTTCTTGTCTTAGAAAAATGTTCATCGGCAACAATGGACCCATTCTTTGAAGTGCTTCTTTCACTTCAAAAGAATTGTACTGCTTGGGTAATTTAGATAGCATATCGTTGGCTAATTTATACACGACGTTCTCTCGAGTTTCACCTCCCTGTGCACCACCCTCTTTTGGCTGTACATTAAGAATTGTATCGAGTATTCCTTTCGCTGTATTGATTTGATAGGTAATGTCGGCGTTAGGATGTAGCCCGAAGACTTCCGGTGTGTCGGTAGCAGGTAAACTATCGATGTAATCCAGATATCCCTGAAGATTTCTCGTCTGGGGCACTCTATATCCCCGATAAAATTCAAAGCCGGGTCGTAACAATACGTCACAAAACCAGACATGCGTGAAAGTAGTTAATAAACGCTTGTCAAAATCATCCGTAACTCTACCGCCATATTGAACCTAAGCGTAAACATATTATAAATAAATGTAAAAAATATGAATGAAATATAAAAAGTATGTCACTTTACTTATTTAATGAAAATGAAAAAAATAGATTTAAACCTCTCCAAGCATATAACATATTGTCGGCCAAGAAACACCCTTTTTAGGATCCATATCATCCAAGTGATTCTGTATGAATTGAACCGATGCTGCAAAATCTGCTTGATTAAATTCGTAAGGTATATTCCAACCGAGCGGTCCAAATTTTCTTCTCTCTTGTACTACAGTGTGTAAAAATGCAACAGCATATAACAAAGGTGGCCACTGCGATTGAGTACTGTAATCCAATGCGTCCTGAGTTACCGCTTGATACGTTCTCTTTAAACTAGCTCTTATGCCTTGAGGTGGTTCATTCGTGAATTTGATTGCTATCTGAAATATATTACTTCCTGTATTTGCTATATTTCTTCAAATTTGTTTCGCAAATTTGTTCTTTTTCCATTTTTAATACGACAGTCGATGTTTACGTGGGTTAAGAATTAAATACATTAAAAATTATGAAATATAAATTCAACCTGTAGTAAACCGATGGGAAATTGAGGGTGTACTTCAGTTGTCATCCATAATCTGAACACTTCATGAACAGTTTCTGTTTCAACCAGAGCATCCATTATTTCCGTACAGAAAGGCAAAGATAAATGAATATTTTGTAACAGCACCCAGCCGCCTGTACTCATAGCTTCGCTAATCATTCTTCGAGCATGAAGCTCTTGGCCTTGCCCCATAGATACTGAATTTAATGCTATAATATTTAAAATATTGTTACGACATACATTTCATTATTGTGAAAAAAATTAAGTTTCTTTTAACTGTGTAAAGAAAATTACTATAAAAATGCTGACTTACGAATCGTTTTTTGTTTAGCTAGCACTGTAATTTGAGGACTTGGGTCAGATCCTATAGATAATAAGCATATCAGTGGCGTCCTAGTTTCAGACTCCAACCACGTTGCTTCTAAATCTAATATTTTGGCCTCCCCGTATTCTTTACCCAACGATTCAGTGATATACTTTCTCGCCTGGGACAAAGTTCTGTCGGGACTCCACGATCTGATGAGCAATAATTTCCGGAATACATCAAGACTTTTTTGATAGCCGCAAGGCAAATCTTCCTCCTCCGGCTTCTCTTTTTCGTACCATACTCTCCATTCCTTCTCACTGAATTCAATTTTTGTCAGTATATCCGAGAATACTTTCAGTTTACTTATCTCGACTAAATTTAGCCACGTTATATCGAGTATCCATCTGAACGGTTTTGGTGTTACTGCATTGAGATCCAAGGATGCCCCACCTTTTATGAAGGCATTGAATTCTGCATGGGAAATGGCGTTTCTATGACAATCTATCTTCATACCTAGCATCAATGTAAATAAAGATTTATGCCTTTCGTAGAGACTTCTCAGTGTAAACGCCCAAACTTCATACGTGAGATGGCGTAGGATAATGTTTATTCGCTCCAAAGTTACTGGACTCTTCGTAGATTTCGTAATTGAATTATCAAAGATTGTCAAGAATTGTCTCAATGAATTTTGATACATTACATTGACATTGCTCATTTCGACTATCAAGAAATACAAAATGGATCCTCTTGACGCAACCGCGCGGAACTCTTCGCGCGCCAAGGTGATTTTTTTCTCAGTAAGAGCGGACACTTGCAGTTTTTCATTCACCGATTCGGCCGTAGTTTTAGTTTCTCGAAGAACAGTTATTAACGCCTCGTCGTCCACCAAAGAACCTTCCGAAGATGTAAGTCTGTGTAATAGCGTACTTTCAAGTTCCTTCATGGAACGTTGATTGGTCATGACTGATTCGAATAGAGCGACTCTTTCCGCTTCTAAATCGGCCTTCTCCATAAGTATTACTCGACCTAACAACTGATCTTCTAAACCCAGCATTGTCACGGTAAAGTCAATAATCGATGTCTTCGCGGATATTTCTGGGCTGTATGCTGGATTTGGTAGTTTGGTGGTGATATATAACATAAATCCTGGCATTACATCGCATTCTTTATCCCCAACGATGACCTTCTCAATAGATCCTGATTTAATGAAGTTCTTTTCAAGTACATTATCGAGTACTGGATCGAGTTCTTCTGCAACGTCTTCGATCAGCAGTGGTCTACCCAACGAAAGACTGTCTTCAAGATGAGTTCGGAAATACTTATGATTTAGTGAAGTAATCTGCAACTCGTTTGTGCTCTCCTTATTCTTGATCCACATCTTTCCTTGATTTTGAGGATCCACAAGAAGTGGATAAGACGAAGATTTCGTGACAATAAGTGCATTTTGGACGGACAATTCGTCGTTCGGCAATCCTTGAAGAGTCCATTCCGACGTTGTTGCTGTGTCGACAAGCATATTCGTTATATTCAAATTCTTAGTGAAAGGTATAGATTTGGTGGTCAGTATATTCATCCATGCAGTCACCAAGCTGGCACGATACTGTTGATTATAAGGTCCACAATACGACAAAAATCCAGTTGCCAACAAAACATCTCCGACCAATCGTCCCAGTTGAATTTTAAATTCTCCACTTTGCTCGGTCCAACGAATCTTTTCGCCGCCTAATCCATTTATCAAAGCAGTCGCAGCTGTCATTTTTCTCAGGCACACGTTTGCCGCTTCCGTCAACCTTTGCTTCTCCGCTACCGCGGTATCGTATTGCTCTTTGACTGTCTGCAAAGCCATTTCTCTCTCGGACAATTCCCGCTCAGCGCTTGCCAGATCCTCCATTGCGAGCTTCAATCGTGCTTCTTGCAATGCTAAGTTAGCTTTTAAAGGAAGAACTTCTTTGTTGACAGAATGGAAGAATGCCATAGCCTTGGTCCACGATAACAAACCAGCAACGTCGCCGCATACACGCCTGGCTGTTTCCATATTATAATCTTCCATTTTGAAGTACGGTTGCAGTAGCTCAACCATCTCGTTATTGATTATGTCTTTTGGATAATTTTGCAGTTGTAATAAAAACGTCGTACTGGCCATGAGTTTCAAGGATTCTGCCCACGAAGGTTTAGGGCACGGCGCAGCCGTGTCAGGTACAACGGATCCGATTTTACGTTGGAACAAGATCAGTACGCAATCCATAATTCTCATTATAAGATGAGGTGGTCTACCTAACTTTCTCACTGTTGCTATGTGAGCAGGTTTGATGGTGTTCAGAGCAGCTTCCGCCTCTTCTAACGCTGGTTTCGCTGCTTCTAGCTTTTGTTCGGCCAGCGCTTTTTCATCAGCTATATAAGCTACCAATTGCTCCGCTTTTTCCTTCACTCTTTGCACTTGATTCTTAAAAGCTTCAGCTTGCATAGCTCTCTCTGTTACTTCTAAAAGCACCGTCTCGGCTTTCTCAGAAGCTTGTACTAGTTCCTGTTCCATTACGGCTAAATCTCTCTTTAGAATCTCAACTGATATTGATGCTTCTTCGAGTTTCGCTAAACCTGTATCCATTCTTTTAGCTCCTTCACCAAGTTCATGTTGCTTAGATCGATAGATGTTTTTGTATCCACCGATGAAATTTAAATAAGACTTTGGAGTCACGTGAGTGGCGCGTCGAAATCTTTGGAAATATTCGACCGACGTTTCCGAAACGATGTCTTGTATAGATCCTAATGCATTCACTAGTTCAGCTTTTACGTCGCTAGTGCAAGCGATTTCAAAATCATGAAGAAAATGATGGGCAACCAAAACCAGAGCATCTTTAGGCCAAGGTTGGAACCAGTCTATAGTGCAACCTGAAATGAGTGCCGGGAAACGCTGGGCGCGATTCCGGAATTTTTCACCCACGGGAGAGAAGCAGAAAACGACATGTAAATTTTGACAAGTTCTTTGCAAAAAGAAATCCATCACCAGTTCATTATTAAGAGTTCTTTTAGGATTTTCCCGTCTCAAAATAGGTGTTAACTCTGAGATAATTTCCGCTTGCTCGTCACGAGTAAATAAGTTGCTGATAACTCCAGAACTCAGGATATTGTTTAGATATTCGAGGAAGCCCTCCTCTTTGATGTCGAGATCGGTAAAAATAAACGTTGTGCCTTTGCCCTGAGCGCCGCAAGTGCGATATAGAAATCTTAGGTCTTCCAAGAAATTGGCTACGTTGTAAGACCTAGTCAAGGTGATTTGAAACGTTTTGTATCCAGCAATAAAAGAGGATAACTTTGTAAGACTCTGTTTGCCAGAACCACCGACCCCTACTAGCATCACATTGCCTTTCGGATGTCTAATGACTCGAGATATTTTCACCAAGTGCAGCATAGCGTCAGGGAAAAATACTAAATCCATTCCAGCACCTCTCTGCATTTCGTTGAACTGCGCCAGAAACATGTCTAATCTCTCTCTTAACACTTGAGGATCGTAAACAGGTTCGTATACTTTGGGAAGTTCTACGTCTGCGTCTTCACCTTCTTCACCGGTTGGTTCTGGAGCATCTCTGTCATTAAAAACAATCTTGTTAATATTACGGAATATTTTTTAAATTACAATATGGGTGTTGATAATTTCATTGATCATAGTTACCATTACTACGTACCTCATGAAATCGACGAATGTAGGATCTTGGTCCAGCATGTTTACGTATTTTTCTCCTAAAATATCAGCTACGGTGCTAATTAGTCCTTCATCAAACCAATCTTTGTCGCTTTGTATCGTTAGCCTGTCGCTGAACACTCGTGTACACTCGTGCTTCCAGAGCAGCATCAGTACGCTTTCTTTGTCAATGACTGTCGACAACGTACCAACCATACCTTGCCAGATTCTCGAGAGATCTCGGAGGCTAAATACATAATGAAACTTTGCAGGCGTTGGCAACAGCTTTGCCCGTGTTCTTTCCCACAGTATTCTAGTCAAAGGAATCATTTTCTTAACGAGCTGACGGACTTCTTGCGAGAATCCTCTTTTAATGTTGTAATGGCCTTCACCTAAAACGCTAAAGATTCGATCGATTGACGCGTTGTCAGGTAAGGTACAATTAAAAATACAAAATTGTCTCTTGAGTCTCGAAGGAATATCGTTTCTCCCGCCTCCGGGCTGGCACATGGCTGCTAGGAAAGTTACATCCACAATGGCGGTGAAGTCACCGGGTTTCTCCAGGGAATAAAATCCCTTCATGTCCATAGTCTGTCGGACTATCTCGTTGGTTACCTGATCACCCCATTCATTAATTTGCGGCAAATTTACGTCATCGATAAAGATTAACATCTTTTTACCGCCTGGCGGTCCGAATGTACTTCCTAACCGCTTTTCCACGTAACTCTCAATGGTTTTTTGGAATTGATACGGACTGGTCGCAGAGCTAAAGTTGAAAGAGCGACTCAAAGTTGTATCTGGATTTGATTTTTTCATATATGATTTCATCATGACAGTTTTCGCAGATCCTTGCTCGCCTATTAGCAATACAGCTTTATCCTGACGGCCAATCAAATCGATTAAATGTTGAATCCTTACATTGTCCGGTATAGGCACCAAAACATTACTGTAGTCAGGCGTCGAGTATTCAGGATAGACATAATTGGTTACCATACTTGTCCACGTATCCCATATACCTTTATCGGTGACGAAGAAATCAAATACTGTAGCGTCCAAATACCTGTCGGAAGTTGGAAGGTCCAAGGTATCGAAGTTTTCTCGAAGATACTTGTCGTACTTTTGTCTGTCGGCAGTCTCTAGCAATGCTCCTATGCCCCACACTAACGCGAACACGTAGAGACGTGTTAGATATTCCGCCGTTATGGGAATGGGTTTGTCTTTTTCCATATCTTCATCTTCGGTTTCTTCCAATGATATTTCGGGAGGTATCAGACCTTCCAGCAGGCAAAGCATTTGTCTTACTATGTTACATTGTAAGACATCGATAGCGAGTACCAACGTTTGAGTGCTCCATGAATATATCTAATAAATGAAAAATTTAATTATATTTCATATATGTATTTCAATATCGTATTTTTATGTCAAAATTAATAATATGGTATTTTTTACCTTAATTTAAAATATTTATTTTAATGTATGCTTATAATTAAAAATAAAAATTGATCTAATCTTCCTCATATTTACAATTTCTGTTTAATAATAGTGAACAATGCGATATTGTTTTTTATTAATTAAGGAAAGAATTAATTTTATAATAGGGGGAGTCCGGGAGACTTGACCATAGAGGAGAGTTGAACCACTTCAAATATCTCGTTCAAATTTTGAACAAAGAGCTCAATCCGAGCACGTGACAATATGACGCTTGGTAGTGCGTTTCGACTGTGATTGAGACAAACGTGTTTTAACGTGCTCGGATTGAGCTCTTTGTTCAAAATTTGAACGAGATATTTGAAGTGGTTCAACTCTCCTCTATGGTCAAGTCTCCCGGACTCCCCCTATATAACATTAAATTAAAATAAAAATATATGATATTGAAAATAAATTCTCAGAAGATATAGAATTGTTTGCTATCAATAATTTACCTGTGCGAAAGAATCTGTAAATAATTGCTCGAGAACTTCTTGCTGCAATGACGATCGTGATTTCACCCAAGCGGTAACAACTGGATTCCAGTCTAATCCTGAAGAGCTCATGTATACCATTCCGTTTCGCGAAACAGTCGCAGGACTTGCATTATCAATATTGTGCGGCTCGAAAATAATTTTACACGTTGGCGCCATTGACAATCTATCGCCATTAGCCAGAGTCAAAGTTTTATTATCATCCAATACAGAATTTAAATTTTCTATCCAAATGCTGTCAACGGGACCGTCGAGCACTAGCCATACGTGTTCGCCTTTCTTTAACTTCAACGTTTTACGCCATAAAGCTGAGAAAATTCCATCTGTCCAATCATTTGTGGCAACATCTAACCGGCCGAACATTTGAGCGGCTGTTATACTTTTAGGATTCATTCTCATTTCCCTGTCAAATTAAATTACGCTACTTGAATATATATATTCATAAATTCGGTAAAAATTATCATTGCATCTCATAAAAATTGTTTATTAATTGATTGACAAGAAAAGTTGCAATAAATCCAAAATATTTTATGCAATATATAAATAAATGTTACATTTATACATATTATATATATTACTTATATATATTATATTACATATTATATTACCTATGTGAATCGCCACATTGCGTCAACGCTTTCATCAAAATATGTATACAAGTAGTTTTGCCAGCGCCGGTCGGACCTAGCGTCATGATGCCATGCCTCACTCTTTGCGTTTCATATAGCTGTATTAATTTAAGCACCCACGGCGAATGATAAACCAGTCCAGCCTGCTCCACTTGTTCATTAATAGCTGCTTCCAATTCAGGATACGATGTTTTCTCTAGGACTTGGTTGGGAAACAAATCAGCTACGAGAGATATAAAGAGTGGTTCGTCCTCATCTGCAGAAAAGTACGTCACATGTTTCAGCATATCTGTGTAGCTAACCAGTTTGTGCGTTTTTCAAAATTGATTATTAATTAGTATAAGAACCTATGAGTTTCGACAGATTCATGTCTCTTAGAACGCGCATGACGATCGTGCTTTCCGTGTCCTTGGAATTGACTCTCTTGGACGCTCCTAAGGTCCTTAATACGGACAATATATTTCGCAGGCCGAAATCGTAGTGAACCTAAGACCAATACATTGTAAAATATCACGACAAATTATTCTTCTTTTTAATGTTTCTCTCTCATCTCTCTCATCTGTACATAATGTACATAATAATGTTACCTGTTTGGTCAACTGCTCTTCACACAATTTATAAAGAGTATAAAATTTACGAGCAAGAGTAATGTTCTCTAGAAATCCACAACTAGCTAATTTTACACGTATGATAATCTGACGATCAGGCACCATCATAGCTACTGTGCGAAACTGTATCTTCAAGTTCTCCGGCAATTCTTTTCGTCCCGCATACCCAGGATTCTACAATTAGCATTGGAATCTTTTTATATGTGTTAATTGTTTTATTAATTGTAAGTAATTTGTGACGTTATTATAAAAAAATAGATAAGAAAGTCATGCAAGTATTGAAGAATGATGTGCCATAAGAATTATGCGCCATGTCTTTTATATGCATTAATTTTGGCAATTTCTTTTTAATTTAGAAAAAACCTGTATATGGATATAACTTCTTTAATTTAGAAAAGTTTGTTACATGATAATATTACCATAGTAATGAATATTCCAAGCTCTGGGCACATATCGACTTGATCCCCATCCGTGAAGACAAACTGCTTCTTCTTTTCCTTTTTTGCTGCAAGCACTACGGCGACTTGCTGCGCGGCAACGGATAGAACTGGCAATTCGATTCTATTGAATTCATCGAAACAACCCCACGAGCCGCTTTGTGCCAATCCTTTGTAGATGCGGCCTAATCCTCGATAATCCATTTGATCGGAGCAATTGAAGACTACGACGTACTTTGCTAAGGTCTTCCCCATGTCTTTTACAGTTTCGGTTTTTCCGGTTCCTGCCGGACCGCAAGGAGACCCTCCCATTGACATTGATAGAGCTTGCGCTAATGTTATGTAACATCTAAAATACAAAAACAAAAATAACGCATACGATGTCGTATGATAAAATAATATTATTTACGATTGCATTTACCTATCGGTTAATGGCGTAATAACCAGTCGCTCAGTACATCCCAAGTATTCATTTTGGTAGGTAAATAGAACATCCGTGATGCATATAGAAGTCTTGTCTAGATCTTCTTTAAAATAAAACCTGCACTGTTTCAACCATTCAAAATCATTCACGGATCGTACATTCAGACGACACTAAATAAACGGAATATGTGATTATTAATTTTTGCATTCTAGTCAGCGATTATTCATGTTTTTGACGTTGTATCTGTACAGTAAAAATTTGATTTACCGACATACCAAGATGTCGAAGATATCACGTTGATGCACATGTATAGTAATCAATGTTTCGAACTTAATCCGTTCTATTTTAGTAAGATCTCTCGTGGTTTGATCGATTAAAGTATTTAAAAGATCAAGGAATTTGTTGTTCGTTTCGATCATAATTTTTTTATCGGCGCGAGCTTGAGCCAAGGCCAATTCGCCATCTCGCGTCCAAATCATTTGAATGCCTAACAAACCTATTTGAGCAGGCATTTTGTCGAGAAAAGTCAAAAAATTGAAATTTGCGTCATTGATCGTGGTGTAGCATTGTCGGATGATAGAATGCAAAGAGAGTTGCGATGTTTGTAGTAATTGCATCAACCACGTTTCCACGGAACCCTCTGCTCTTACTGCTCTCTCCAGCTTCATAGAAAATTGTAAACAAATTTATATAGTTTCATATTTCTAAAACTTATATTTACATTAAACAAATATATTACACAAATTTGAGAAAAATTAAAAATTACTGTACTATAATGCCAAATTAAAAATATAAAAAATTTTCCACTTAGCGAATATTATTTGCTAAATATGTTGTTTTTAAAATAAATTTCAATAATCTTCTTAGATTTAAGGTCTAATATACTTTTAAAGTTTTTATATTTAGGAATTTGAACATTTATATATGCAATATATGAAAACGGCTAGAAAAAATAATAATGTACAAGTATTGTATGATTATTATTTTGATTAAATACATATATTCACCTGTATAGTTTCACCTTCTGATGAAACGATGGCTGTCATTTTATTGTATTCGATATCATGAAATTTCACGTAGCGTGTGTTATCGAAAATAGAGAGTAAGTGATTTTGTATGGTATGAGAATCGGACGCTTGACCAAGTATCTCCAAAAGTGCGGGATCAGAAACAAAGAAGAACCTCGGAAACATCATGCGCTTCTTCTCCAAATATCTACAACATTAAAAAGAATAATCTTTATATTTATAATAGATATTAATAAAAGATATTTTCAATTTATACATTAAAATTTGCTGTTATTAAACTAAAAGTTGCAATCAAAAGATCTCTTTTAAATTTACTAAGAAGGAAAGACGATTATGTGCATCACTATTCGTGGTATACCTACTTACCCACTCAGAGATTTTTGACATAGCTCCAATTGCTCCTGCAAGTGTGGCAGAAGCTGTTTCAACAAGTCATCGCCCACGCAACAAGGTACAACTCCTGGTGTTTCATGAGCACGTTGCATGATCTTCTGCCAACTTTTGTCGATCTTGCTGAATCTTTTAGCCTCCTTTGGCAGTTGTTTCGCAATATCGCCGCCCACAAACACCGCCTCGAGATAGACCCACATGTTTTGCACGAGCAACCATCTCTCGAGGATCTCGTTCGTATTAGATAAATCAGTAAGCCACTGTTGTATTTGTTTTCTGAAAGGCGCATTATAGCGATTTGACATGAGTGAGCCGAGAACCATCAAGCTGTCTTCCAACTGACTGATAGTTTCCGCTGTTGTATCTCCTCTGAGCAACAATTCTCCCCTGTTGTTAAATGTCATGAAAGTCAACTCGTGAGATGACCATTCGTTTACCACTGTCCTTAATTTAGCTTCGATATCTTTCTCCTTCATAGCCGATATACAAATGTCTTCGATGTCCTCTTTGTTTTTCAGAAGCGGTGCTTCAAGGATGTTTTTAAGACAGAAACCCTCGCTCTCAAGATCGAACGAATATCCCGTGACTTCTACGATTCTCTGCCAGTGGCGCGGTTTCATTGCTTTGTTCGCCATCAGCTCGAGAAGAGGACACATATCGTTAAAGTCGTCGATTGTCTTCTTAAGTGCAAAGAACGCCGGCCATTCCTTCAACCCTTTTGGCAATTTGCGACAGCGATTTTGAAACTCCATTAGCTCATTGTTTATTTCTTCGATATTAACCTAAATAATTATAACAATCAGCGTTTTTATGTATATGATAAAGAAGGTCACAAAGATTTTTTAAAACTTTGTCATTAATAAATTAATAATGGATTAATAAATTAAAATTGATAAATAATATTATTTAACTTATACATTAAAAGAAAAATCTGTAGAATGTGTATATTATAAAGGTTTCATGTATATGTAAAACAGCGATAACACGATTTCTTACCTCGCCCCATGGAATATCATAATAGCTGCTGACTCTGTCGATGACGTCGTTGTAAAGTTTATACAACTTCTGCAATAAATTCAATTCCTTCCTGATTTGCGACAGCTCTGGGTAATCTGTGATAGGCAAACCGAAAAGCTCTTCGCCGCTTTGGTAGGTCTGCAACTTGCGCCACATTCCGTCAAATCTATTCTGAAACAGTATTTGCCTGTCCGAAGCGTCACGGGGACTCAAGCCTGGCTGCATCGGTCCGGATGATCTGTATTCTTCGCAGTACATTTCGTTATCGGCACGGAATTTCTCGAGATTGTTCCTTAGATCGTTCTCGAATTGCGGTTGCAAATTCAGTAGCAACACGTGATTCTCTTGCGCTCGTGCCAACAGATTCTGCCAGGTGTCTCGCAAATTATCAACCTGCTCCAAGCATTCCTGGTCCACAGGCACCTCGTATCTCGTGACTATGTTGAAAGCCTCTTCGATAGGATCAATCTTGAGCTCCATGTCGACCTCCTGCTCGCGAATTTTCTTCAGAGTGTCCATAATGAGACGTACGTCATCCAGATCGCGAATTTGATGGTCTAATTTACGATCCATTTCGTTTATTAGCGCATAAACATATTCCATTTCGCGACGATACTTCTTTTTCATTGCTTGACCAATTTTATGCGTGCAACCTGCAGGAATTGTTAAATGAAATAATCCATTGTTGACGCGCATTGAAAATAGAAAACAGACAACTCTATTATTGTCTGAAACTTTTGAGGAAATTTTCGTAATTTTTGTACGACTTGACTTATTGTTTTAAATTTAAAAAGAATGTATATATATTTATTATCTTTATACTCTGTATTTCTTACTTCTTGAATTATTTCTGAAGTACTTATTTTTAAATTTGAACACAACACTTTTTTAAACGTATTATTTATATACATAATTTAAAACATATAAATACATAATCGTAAAATTCAAATAGTATTCAAAATAAGTAAGAAATTTAAAGCCAATAAACGAGCAATACGAGAGATGTCAAATTTAAAACCATGTTTAATATATCTCATGAATACACAAGGACCTGAATTGATCGAGGAAGATTCTGTGGAGATTGAAACGTCTCTACGTATTTATGAGATATTAAACTGGTTTTAAATTTGACATCTCTCGTATTGCTCGTTTATTAGTCTTTGAATTTCTGACTTATGTTTTGAAACATATGCCAGCTTGATTCTTTTTGTAATTCAAATAGTATTATATTAGTGGTACCTTTGATTTCCGTATAGACACCATACTTCAGTTTTTCCGTTGATACAGCGATCGATGTGCCGAATATGATCATATCTGGCTCGGTTGCCAGTCGATCTTCGAGTTCGCTGTGTTTGCGGAGAGTAGTTTCAAATTCTGACAAAGAGATTTGTAGTAATTCTCGCATATTGCGCTCGTTTTTCCACAGAAACTTATAAGGCTTCCAACGATCGAGAAATTCTGTTAAATCCTGTAAATCCAACGTAATAATCGATTCTGTCGATAAATGAATGTCATCTAACTGATATTATTATTACTTACTTGCCGCAATTCCATTGTGCAAGTGCTCAACATGCTGAGAAGTTTGATAATTTCCTTATTGTCCATAACCATCGTGTAGAAGTTTCTCTCTTGGACTGGAAATACGGGTCTCTCTTCAGAAAGAATTTTGTAAAGTCTTCGTCTTCTGGTTTTCAAATCTTCTGGTTCTTCCTGCTTCTGCTTCGTGACATTACTCTGCGCCCGCAACACGACATCGGCCAGATTTCGTTTGGATGGATAAGGGAGATTTTTCCACATGCTCTAATAATGATCGTAAAATAACGTAAAAATCACATAATGTGTATTGAACATATGTTCGCCAAGTTTAAGAATTTCAATGTAGTTCTTTTACCTTGCTACCTCTGGAATTCCATTGCGCCACTCCTTTCGCGACACCCGTGATAATTTTTCCAACTGATATCAATGCCTCTTGAACGTCATCCAGGCTTGGCTTGACTGTTACTGCCGGAATCATCAGGGTTGCGTGTAATAAAAACACTGGATTCGGAGTTGCTTCTATAAATACAATTAATTTTAAATACAATTGCGAAGAGATTTAGCTCTAAATATAATAAATAAGTATAATAAATAATTTAAAAAGAAGACGCTAAAGACACTAAGCTTTCTTCGAATCTTTTGTAATAATTTATATGCGTGTGTTCTATTGAAAATTTGGATATTAATTATTTTAATCTTTGATTAATTATTTTAGTCTAAAAATATAGACAAGCATAATCTTTTGTTAAATAAGAGAATAATGTCTTAACGCGAAAAAACTGTCAAATTAATTTTACAATTTTCGAATATTTTACAAAATTTTGATTTAAATTGTACGATCTAATTTACTTTAAATACAACATAAAAAATGTATTTAAAGAAATTGTTAATTTAATTAATATTAATATTTATATTAAGTAAAAACTTTTTCTGTCATTGAGATAAGAATAACTTAAATCTTTGTCTTGTTTGTTAGCATAAATATTTTGAAAAAGTTCTATTTAAAGAATTACCTGAATCAAGTTCCCGAATAAATCGTTTTCTAATCGCATCTAGAGATACTTTGGTGATCTTTATTAACACGTCCACGACTTTTCTAGAATAATACCGTCTCATCTCAGATACCGCGTTTCGAACCATATCTTGCATGGTTTTGGGTAAAGTACCGGGTGTCGTTAGTAATTGATGAGGGTCATCGAAACAATTCCATACCGCAGACCAATCTTGCTGACCTGTTTGTTCTGTTGCCTTCTCGCCTTCTAATCCTTAATTTTTAATAAGATAAAGATTATATTTTATTGCATTTTAAAAATTTTCTACAAGCTGTAGATGTTTTTATTATTTTTATAATAAATGTTACAGTTAAAATTGTCTTTAAGCATTGTTAGCAGGATATTATGATACTTATCAAATAATATATGTATATATAAACGAATATTACAACAAGTAAAGATACACACTTTTTATTTATTACGTATTATTGTAATATAGGCATTTATATGGATATGTCAAAAGAAAATAAATAATCCAATTTTCTGCACAAAAGCTCATATTTCAATTGCAAGGTTTTAAAAATTGATATGCATTACCTTCAGTAGTAAGAAAATCAAATTGGTTGGAATTGGTACTTTTGAAACTATCTGTAGCTTTTCTGACAAGCTGCAATACTTCCTCCACCGCTTCCTCGACCATTGTGCTTTTACGATGCAAATCTACTGCTGCCATCCGACATATTTCCTCGTTCTTTTCTACAAATTCCTCTATTGTCCACGGTTGATCGGACTCGGGCAGAGCATGTAAAGTTACTTTCTGCATACTGGTCAATACTTCCAAAATTCTAGTACCACAAATCATTAAATTAACTTGCATAATTCCGTAAGCTTCTAAATATGTTTTTTATATAACCACGAAATAATTATTCAGCAATTAATGTACTAATATTAAGATTATCATTGCTAAAAAATTTGTTTTTAGAACAAGACTAATTAATTTTATTTTGGTAAAACTTTAGATTAAAGGCGACCTCATCGATTTCAATGACTTTGATATATGTTGTCAAGGACATAATTCTGAGTAATTTTTTCTTATAACTTGATCGTCGCTCTTTGCTTATTAAAAAGTTATTAACAAAAAAAGTTTGAAAAATATAGCAGGGCGGGAGAGGGACTCACGCGTGGAAAGTTATAAAAACCCTGCCCTGCTATATTTTTCAAACTTTTTTTGTTAATAATTTTTTCATAAGCAATAAGCGACGATTAAGTTATAAGAAAAAGTTACTCAGAATTATGTTCTTGACAACATATATCAAGGTCATTGAAATCGGTGAGGTCGCCCTTAATCTAAAGTTTTACCTTTATTTTTAACAGTTAATATGTTACGTACCTATTATCATATACGTCGTGAACTCTTGTGATAAGGATATCGAAAGTTTTGATCTGCTCTTTCGTATTCTGACAAAAATCCTTCCAATCTGGCTTGGTCCATGTCAAGGTCGTTAAACCGGGTTCTAATAAAGATGCAACGCAAACTAAATGCGGTAACAATAATGGGCGCACTTCCAATTTTACACGCTTTGCGGTACAAACGAATTCTTCGATCATAAGCTGGAGAGAATCCGTGACCAGAGTAAAATAATCTCTTTTCGCTAATATTGTTAGCGCAACAATTGGAATTTCCAAATTTATTTTTGCTAAACAATCGGCTTCACGAAATAAAAGAACGACTCGGTTTTCCAGGTTGACTTTCACTTTCGCCGATTTCTCGTCGACAATAAGCAGCGGTCTGTTATGTAAAGTTATCTTCTTTATAATTATTATTATTTAATATATAAATATTTGTGATGTATATACGTTTTTTAAGAATTATCTTAAGAAAGCAAGATTAATTCTTGACTATATTGAACTGACCGTTTTAAACAATCCTCGATGACCCAGGAATTTTGATGCGTCCAAATCTCAGCAATATCGGTTTGATATTGTTTCAAAATAGCAATTGCGTGATTATATCTTTTCACCAAGTCGGCAGTCAATGGTAATATTTTTAACACAGGATGATTTGACACGGATGCCGTCAATTCATCCAAATGTACTCTAATAAAATTTCAATACCGCTCTTTAGAGAATTGTTTTTAAAACTATGTCTCATAATTTATATAATTTTTAATACTTCCTTAATTTGTAGGTAATTATACAAATAACTATATTGCTTACTTTAGAGAATTTGCCCAAGTCAATCGTCCAGCTATAGGTGGCATATGTCTCGGCAACGGAGGATCGTCTCTTTGCCGTTTGAATAGTTTTAAAATTCGATCAATCTCCCTATCGCAATATTTCACGACAACGTTATATTTTTCCTCCAATTTTGTAAGCGGTATTTTTTCGCTGACCTTATAATATTAAAAATATTTAGAAAAAGAATATTTGTATACCTATACTGAGAAAAATAATTAATTTTAAAATATTCTGCGCAAATTAAAAATTTGAATATATTTATCACCTTTTCGAATCGCGTTAAAAATCGTATACCCTGTGGTGTTTCCCATACATCAGCGTAATTTTTTTCAATAATCTCTCCGATATTTTCTTTCAAGGTATTTGTCTTTGCCATAAAGTCGTCATAATCGATATCGAAGTCGGTGTTTCTTGGATCGAGATAATCGTAAGATTTGCTAGTCGCAATCTTCTTAGCTTCTTCGAAGGTTTTCATGGCTTCATCTAATGCTATACAATTTGACAGATAGTAATTTATTTAATATACAATCAAAATAAATATCTTTTAATTAACATTTAATTAACATTGTTTCGATCAAAATTAAAACAAGATGGTGAATTATTTATTTATGGTGAATTAATTATTGGATAATAGAAAATTTATTTAATTTTTTAATGTTCTTATTGTTATGGTAGTTTAGAGATTTAAAATGTTTAACACATATATGTATTCTGCATAATAAAATTAAAATATTGAAGTTATTATACTATACCTTCTCCGAGAAGCAATCCTTCCATTCGTCTTTCAAAGAGAGTTTGATAATCTTGTATGAGATCAAACATGGTGAGAATCTTGCGGATTCTAGCACAGAAAGCATCAAATCGCCCAAAAACGTGAGTTTCCGAGAAGGAAAATTCTTGTTCCGTAACTGCTGGTGAACATCGAACTAGTCTGTACGTTTCTCTATAAGCTCTTGAACAAAAATTAATTTTGGTTATTTATTACTTACGTCTCTTTAATTAGAAATTGGTATTAGAATATTCTCAACTGAACTTTTTCTAATTCTTTGAACGTCTTTAACAACATAATTTAATGATTGAAGTTATAACAGAATCAAATTTATTTACTTTTGTAAGATTATTTAAAATGTATAAAATATGATTAGTACTTGTTTAGACGTAAACAGTGTTTCAATCTCGACCGAACGGCTATTCGATCTTGACCCCAAATAATTTCTCGACCTCTTTTCGTGACGTAATCTCGACAGGCAACAATCATTTGATTCGTAATTTTAATCATTAGCGAACTCGTCCTTTCTGAAGTATTATAATACCTCGAGACACTATATATCAATCGGACAGTCTGTAATAGTGATACAAGCGAATCCCGCATTTTCACCTGCAGAAATCAAAATTTAATTGCATGCAAAATCATGTAAGGTTCAAGGATTATACAATGTATCACGTTTTTATCTTACAAGAAAGATTAACTTACAGGATCATCGAGATAAAGACAATGACAACATTTTTCTAATGCTTGGATGAACTTCGCGTTATCTTTCGCTTCATTGTAACAGTAAGTCACTTCATCTTCTGCGTCGACCCAATCTTTAATTAACTTTGAACGCGCGACTTGCAGACATAGAAGTGACATAGTGATTTCATGATCCTGTTATTTTTTGTTTGTTTAAAAACAGATTTTATATTTATAAAGGAATCTCTAATAGATTCTCATAACATAATTTGTGCAGAATTAAAATAATTAATATGTGTATTATGCTTTTTAAAATAACTAAGAAATGCTGTATTGTGTAATTTAATCGCAAAATTAAAGATTTATATATATCTATATATACAAGAACGGTAGAAAGCAGAACCTGTAAACGGTTGACTAGTTGACTAAATTGTGCACCCCGCCGTTTCCAATACTCGAGTTCTTGCTGCGGTCCAGAGATATCATTCTCTCTTTTAACTTGTTTACTTTCCGCCATAAAATCCTTGAGCTTTTTTATCCAGAGTTTCACCCTTTCCTCAATTCGTTCCACAGCATTCTCTTTCGCTATAAAAGCTTTTGCTTCTTCAAAATTGTGCACTTCCATCATCATTGGCTCGCCGTCGCTGAATATACCACCATCGAGCGCTACCTTTTCGCAAACTTTATAAATATTATGTAAATTTAAACAAATGGTCACAATCAGCTTTAAAAAGTAATTACTGTCTTTATAATATTTTTAATCATAATTATTTGTTTTTATAAGTTTTTAACAATTGTAAATGTTATTTTGGTGTGAGTATAAAAATAAAATTTCTAATTTAATATGAATTTGCAAAAGTACCTTTAAGAGCGCTGCAAAAAGATCTTAAGCCTGGTAACAGGAGACTTTTAATCATCGAACAATCGTCTTCACCTTCCGCACCAGGATGCGCTAACGCATCCATGAACACCTGCTCCACAATTCGCTGAACAGAAGTTATTATTCCTATTTTCATCGTATCTATTACACCCGTGTAAAGGTCTTTTTGAAATCCTTCTTCTGGTAATTGTTTAGACACACTGATTCTATATAGATATATATTTTAAATAAAAAGAAAATTAAGTTTTTATGTATTATTCCATTATTACACTGTTAAATTACCTGAACATATAAATACAGATGCCTGTGCAAGGCACTTGCCAGCCATCGGTTAGAAAAAGCTTCTTTTTCGGTGGCTCCTTTGACTCCTTTTGTTCCTTCACCTTTGATGCTGTCGCATTCGGTGCTGATCTAGAAGTTACAGTCTTCGGCTGCACCTTTAATGAAATTCTCGCGATTATCTCTGCCTTTACTTGCCTAACGATCGTCGAAATTTTATACCGTATCAGTCGGAGGCTCTGGCTCTTCAACCTCTTGATAGTACCAGACGAGAGTAGATCTCATGTGCGGTACAAACAACTGATTGATTTCGTCCAACATGTCATCTTCGAAAACATGATCCATGACTTCGTGACGCGATAACTGCGTCGCGTCCATCAAGAGTTGAAAAGCGAATTCCAAACGGGGGTCCATCTCTCCCCGTCTGGCTTTTCTCTCGCATTCTTCCCGTCGTTTCTGTAAGCACAATGTACAAGATATTTCTTCAAATTACAAAAAATTAAAATTTATTATTATTACTTAAAATTATAATAAATTAATGACACAAAAGAGCTTTTAACAACTATTAATTACGTTTAGTTTCTTATATAAATTTAATCTTTAGATGATTACGAATTTTATACTCAATATGTATGGAAACTCAACACTTATAACTATATATAAATGACATATCACAATAATGAAAAAATCCGATTAAACTTAAATATATGAAATGTAAATATATAAAATATTCCTAACAGCACATGATATCATAAATGTACTGAGAATATCCCTTAAATATTTTTTTTTTGCGATATTTTTCGAACATTTTCAGAATCTACATGTCCTGTTAGGGGTATCTATATATTTTTTGCGTTCAACTATTGGTATAGTTCTATATCAATAAATTATAATAATTTTTTATTTAATTGTCAAGTCAATTTCGTTGCGGAGGATTGACCTGGAGAGCGTCTTCAGGACCTTCCTCATCACTATCGTCTTCGGAATTATTCGATCTATCTTTGATGATCTGCGGACCTTGTACGAACATGACTAGAATGAGTAGAAAATGACACGTGGTTGAAGGCTCACTGAGCAGTGAAGTGCAAGTTGCACTGAAAGCTGCCCTCAAGCTCGACGAAATTCTACGAGCGTATGAGGTGGTGCGAGGGGGATGGCTTACAGTGCCACGGTTTCGTGTCTGGCACCGCCCTTCGACGCATTGTTCGTGTCGTGTGGGAATTTCCACGCGATTCTACTCGTCTGCTTCTACTAGTCAATATCGCTATAGCGTAGATGTTTTTTTTGCGAATTGGTGAAAGTTTGCCGCATTTACTATAGATGTAAGACCATTATGCACACGTATTCAAATTGCATTGCTTATTTGAAATTGTAAGAGAGTTGAACATCTTGTAATGTCTACGAAATAACGGATAACAGATAACACATAATAGAGCAAGACAATAAATATTCTAACACGCGGAACCGATTTCGGAGGTATTTTGAAACACGCGAAACCAAAAATAGATATTGGTCTGTGGGGTTTACATTAAGTTTGTTATTATACAATCTGAGGGATATATAGTAGTAATCATTTTGAAAATTATAAGTGTATTCATCATGTTCATGCTCCAATTGTCCTTAATTGATTGATTCGATGTGATGTTTATTAGGAGATTCAAATATTACATTTAATAATCACGAGGAAAAATAGAAAAATACATAAGTAATTGATACATGTTTATATACAATTATTTATGTGCATGTTAAAATTTTGTAAATATGCTAGAAAAATGTTCTGTAGATTAATAATAATAAATGCGTTAATTGACGGATCGTGATAATCAAAATGTAGATATGCCGCGCACTACAATGTAGTGACTACATATATACATAAATTAGCTCGTATCAATTTGAATATGACATTACGTATACCTATACATATATATCGCAAGCGGTGTATTATGCTCAGTACAAATGGAACATTACACAGATTCTTTCAATTGACTAACACACGCAATTGCTTCATGTAAAATTGCTCGTGCAATTGCACCAAGTAAAAATTTGTTGCTTGCGTGCAACGTGCAGACACGTTGCATTTTATTAATCCGTTTCGGTATGTGCAATTTGTTAGATAAAAGTTGCATATTAGAAACTTTCGTGAAGTTGGGAAATAAATCTTCTTGACAGGTTTCGCCGAAAATTTGCGAAAGGGCATATGTTCAACTTCGCTCAAGATTGCGATCTGCAATCTTGAGAAGTGTAAGTAGATTTCGCCGTGGCATTTTCACACTACTTATATGCGAAAAGACGTCGTTGAAAGGCGTAATGCGATCGGTGGTCGTCGGTCTTGGTACCGACAGGAACGGGTATCGCTCAAATAAAATCGATAACATGCACTTGTCAAAGGCATCATAAATAGACGTATCTAAGCTGTTATTAATAGTTTCGTTGTTTCGCGATTTTGGCTTACTCTGGCTTCGTCGCTGGTTTCCGTCATGTCGCGAAACTTCTGAGATCTTCTTTTGCGAGAGGACACCGCGAAACGATGCACGTCCTTGTGCAGTCCGTGCCGTAATGCGACATTAACTGCGTTTCTCCGTCTTTTAGTCGGTACTCATTCGATCTCCTTCTTTCGTCCTATCTCTATCACTTCTCTCCTTTTCTTCCATCACTCGTTCAAAGGATATTGCAAAGTTAAATAAAATGTCTCTAAGAATAGACAAAAATTGATTTGATTTAATTATTAATAACAATGCATTATAAAAGCTTAAATATTTAAGGTAAAACATCAAATTGATTCGAATGATCCGACATTATCAGCTATTAAGAAGCAACTGATGCAAAATAATATATACAATTATTGATTAAACCACGATGCCAAAGCTACCTTTGAAGTACTGTGATTATTATTTGAATCAATGCCCGCGCAATTATATTAGAATATTAGTCAAGTTATATAATATTTAACACATATGCATGTAATATGTGTATCGCGCGCGCTTGTGTAAAGTAAAAGTTATACAAAAATTGAAGATTTTAAGGCATTATTATTAATACGATTAAAACTTATTCAGTTATTATTATAAAATATTATAAACAAAGTAAAATGAATTTAATTTTATAATATACAGTTAATATTAATGTAGATAAAATACATGTAGAAAATTGCTTAAAAGGTTATAGAAGCTTAAAATTTTATTTAAAAATTAATAATTTTTATCGCTTTTATTTTATCGATTCTGTAGTTTTTTTACATTTTTTACAGCATAAATACATATTATATAATGTATTTAAGAATTTACAGTCAATTTTGCTTTAAATGAGAAGGTAATAAACAAAAAAATGGAAATTTTTCTGCATTTAAATAAACCTCAATATTTTTTAAAATTTAAATAAATTATAAGTTTTAATAATTAATAAAATTAATAATATAATAATATAATATAATATAATTTAATGCAATAAAAATATTAAAAATTTGAAAGAAAAAAAATATTTCTGAATGTCTAATTAAATTTTGTCTAAGAAAAGAAAATTTATATCTACATGTTAAATTTTACTATTAAAAGATTTATTATTATAATAATTAATATTGAAATTTTTGAGGAATATCTTTGGTATACATACCTTACAATTTTTAATTAAATTATTTGCTCGTCTGTAAGAAAGAAAATTTTCATAAAACTAATTATTAATAATTGGGTAAGAGCTAATGAAAAATTCTGTTATGTAAAGATTTTGCTATTACATGAATTTTTCCAAATTTATTTTGATAAATGAAGATATTGTCAAGCTATATCGACTAACGTTTAGTATTGACTACTATTGACTAACCGACTAACGTATAGTAACCCCTCCACTGTCCTTCCTTCTTCCAGCCAAGCAAGTAGTACCAGTTGGTATCAGGTCAAACATACTTGAGCATACATTTGTATTCGGCATTGTGTTGAAATAAAATCAAGATAAATTTATATAATAAAAAGCAATATAGTAACTGGTTTACTAATTTACCTTTTTTTACAAAATAAATAACTTTGTGTAATTTAGGAGATAAATAATGTCAGAGAAAAATTCTTCAAAAATATAAAAATTTTCTATGAAATCATTTTAAATATAAATTTAATAATTACAATTTAACAATTACAAAAAAAGATGTTGATAAAATATCTGTGTAAAATTTTCTTGAAAATTGATATAAAAAATATGAAATAATTTCATGATATAGCGTATGCTATCAATCAAACTTTATATTCATGTATGCATTTAAATAATAATGTGACTATTTAATTAATTTTTTACAAATACAAATAAATTAAAGGGAAGATGGTCAAAAAGATGGAATTATGAAGAAACAAGACTATTTATATCGAGTTCCATATCGAGTGAAATATGCGGCATCTACGCCCTCTTTGTTTATTATTGTAATATCTTTCACTAGACTAATTTCTAGGACAATAATTGTTAATATTGTACCATTGTCATCAAAGTCGTATCACTTTATCGTCATGACATATCTAGTACGCTCATTACACTCCAGTCGGGATTGCTTTCACGGCGTTTCTTCTTGCACATTTTCTTCATTTCTATTACAAATTAGTATTTTTAAGACGGATGCATATGAAGCGTTATTATCATACTATCGTTCCATCAATTAATTTTAAGAGACATATCGAGATAATATTCTGCATGTTTATTGGATTTGATTAACGCTAATTTTGTTTTAACAAATACGTCCGTCCTAAAAAAATGTTACTTATTATTAAAAATCTATTTTGATTGCCTACGTACAAGTTAACATTTTATCGAGTAAATAAAACGATTTACAAACCACATCGTAAAGTTTTTAGATTGGACAATAACTATATAATAACAACTTTTACTTATAAAATTTAAAGCTTATTTATTTACAACATAAGTAATAACGGCGGTGTAAAACATATGTTTATATGTCTAATAATATTTATCGATATATTGCGGTTACATATATAGAATGTTGCAGTTATATATTATTACTTTTATTTATTTAAAAACTCAATCAAAATTTACAACTTTTTATAACTATTTTAACTTTCTATATTAAATATTTTATAATAATACATAAAAATATAATAATATTAATTTAAAATTAAATACAAAATAACATATTGTTATCTATTGTAAATTTAATTTGTCAAAATTATGATTTTCAATTGCCAATGGAAAATTGCTGATTCCTGTTATTATTCTTATTGTTAGATTGTCTTGCAGTGTTTATAGTTGGCGATAATTTTGAGTTATTCAGTATTGATTTATAATTTATATAATCATGCAACAACTATTCGCACGCGCATATAATTATACATAATTGTATTATTTTGTATAAATGTAAGAATTAAATAAAAATTATGTGTGTGCTGGTGTTTGTAAACCGTCTCATATAGTCGGCAAAATGCAACTTGCGTTACATCATGTGTTGATTTTACGCTGATTGAAACCGCGAAACATTCCTGATCTGTAAATAATTCCTCAAGACGTCACTTTCTACTTCATATACTAAATGTGGTAATCTCAATCGCTGATGTACGTATCTTAAATAAAAATTATAAATCATAATACTTAGTACTAGGATAAATTTACTGCAAACATCGATAGATACGTCTCGTTAATCAATAAAAATATATATCTATATATTATGCTTAATTGTGTAAAGAAATTGACACAATAAAATGGCGCAACAATTTTTTGTAGTCCTCCACAAATCGCAATATCTATTAAATATTTAAAAAATTATTGTTAGATATATATATATATATATCTAAATTATTGTTAGATATATATATATATATATATATATATATATATATCTCATGAGTTGCAAGAAACTTTTATTTTATTATTTTTATGTTATTATACTTTTTTCTTTTTGTTCTTATATACAATAAGAATATTATGTTTTAATAAAAATTACAAATTGTAATTAAAAGTGCATATATTTTTAGTCATAACGTTCCGACGCATATCTGTTTTACTAATATCCTTTTATTTTTATATTATATAAATTTTCGACGA